GGAGAAATGTCTTTAGTCAGTCTGCTGGGAAACATTCAATTTGAAGCTGAATGTTTATCAGCTTCAAATCTTTGATTCTTGTGAATCTTTGTGAATGTGATGCAGCTTCTCCTTTTAATGTTTGTATTTCTGGATATTACAGTGAGGCCACAGCAAGGTTTTCAGCAGCAGGGCTGTTAGTGTTTCATTCCTTCATCTGTGTGTGGGAGTGTGGATGGATCAGGTATCCAGGTGTTGATCAGAGTTTAGATTGATTGTATTTGAATGCTGATTATTAAATCAGGTGAGCTTCCAGAAATGTTTCCTTAGTTTCCTGATGTCCTTTAGGCTTCAGTGGATTTCTTCAGGTTGTTACTGAGGGATTTCCTTTCTCCTCTCTGTTGGAGCTTTTCCTGTGTTTGGAGAAGAGTTGTGCTGCAGCAGCACCAACTGTCCTTCCTACATCCACTGCAGTTGCAATCCAGATGTTGGACTGTTCCTGTCTCAGTGGAGGACAATGTGTCTGAGAGACATGTAATGTCCATGTTTGCTGCTGAAAGAGACTGATGGGTCTGACCCTCCTCCTCCTTTCAGGGTGGAGCCTGCTGGAGGCCCGATTCTTGACTCCAGGTCTGAGGAAATGTAAGTGTGTTTTTCATCTTGATTCATGACAACAAAGCAGCTCACATTCAACCATCTTCAAAACTGTCACATCACTCATTTGAGTCAAAGTGTCAATAAATGATCAATAACTGCAGCTGGATTGTGTTTGTCTCTCCATCAGATTCCTGTCAACTCACCATTGACACAAACACAGTGAGCAGAAACCTCAAACTGTGAAGACAACAGGAAGGGTGACACGGTGAAGGAGCTTCAGTCAATCCTGATCATCCAGACAGATTTGATGATCATCAGCTGCTGTGTAAAATGTCTGACTGTCGCTGTTACTGGGAGGTCGAATGGAGAGGAGATGTTGAGATATCAGTGAGTTACAGAAGAATCAGGAGGAAAGGAGACAGTGCAGACTGTGTGTTTGGATATAATGATCATTCCTGGAGGCTGAGATGCTCTTATGATTGTTACTCTGTCTGGCACGATAACAGAAAAAACCCGTCTCTCCTCCTCCTGTCTCTAACAGAGTAGCAGTGTATGTGGACTGTCCTGCTGGCATTCTGTCCTTCTACAGAGTCTCTCTGACTCACTGATCCTCCTCCACACCTTCAACACCACATTCACTGAACCTCGGATTCCTGGATTTGGGGTCTGGTCAGTCTGGTTCCTTCAGTGATTCTGAGCTGATTTGAGTCTAAAAGAGTCTAAGTTTTTCCTCCTGTCAGAGAAACTCTCTCACTGTTGAACAGATAGTTCAGTCTCTACAATCTATTTTTGGTAAAACGATCGATTGAGTCCTTGGAAACTTTTTCTTCTTCCAGTCCTTTAAAGATGGAAGCTGGGATCATTCCAGGATTATTCCAGGATCCTCATATTTTTCTGTCTGTTTTCCACTCAAAGCTTCACTCTGAATATCAAAATGTTGTTTCTCTTATTTTTCCTTTCATTCATCAGATTTTATTGAAATATTGAAAACATTTTTCTTTTGCATTTGGTTCATTTGCTGCTCATTTTCTTCTTTTTCTGTTCAAATTTAAATATTTGCATTAAAAGATTTTTTCATCTCTACCTTTCAGAAAGTCCTTATTAAAGTTAAACATTCCCATCCCATGAACGTCAGAGGTCAACCCTTTGAAGCATAAAGTGGAAAAATCTAAATATTTTCTGTTTCATTCAGAACTTCTACTGGAACTGAGAACCTGCAGAACATTTTTCTCTTTGGAGAAAAAATCCAAACACCAATCAGAACCTGCATTAATCAGCTAGCTAATGTTAAGAATTACTGAGAGGAGATCTTGATTTTGCTCGTTAATTCTTTCCTCTGATCCCGGATTCTTGAGCCTCAATATGCGCAGGGAGAAAGAGCAATCATATGACAACAGACTTCAGATATCTAGAGCTTTAGCCAGAGAAAATCAATGCATACAGAATGTTACAATAGGCATTCCACCCAGATTATCAAAAGTCCAAGACGTGACAAAACAGAAAATAACTGCATGAGTTGAAAAAAAGAAACAAAGAAAGCACAGAAAATGCATTTTCCTGGAATTGCGGACTCGGGAGAAAGCAATTCGAATTCTCTGTTGCAAACGAAAACTTTTATAAGACTGTGCCTTTCTCTAAATTTAAATATATGCATTAAGAGGTGTGTTTTTCCTTTGTGGGGCTGAATTAATTTTAATTTTATTATCTCGTGCTAAAGAGCCCCAAAGGCAGATATATGGATTGTCAAAGTGGGTCTTTGGCGTACCAGGCATCTCCTGCAAACCCTCCCTCGGAGAAAATTTATGGCTTGAGCCTGTTTTGGTTTTCTGCTTCAGTGATTGAACTAGAACATATTTGTGTTTTACTGAAACAAAATCTAATGCTAAAAACTAACTATAACTTTGGATCTAAAACGAACTAATTCAAAACATGCTGTTTAATGCTTAAAGAAAATATTAATACGTTTGATTATATTTTGTAGCAGACTTCTATAGTTTTTGATGTTTGGCTGAACTCTTGACCTCTGAGTAAAGAATTTATTATCCTGATAGCCAATATGCTCCCTGTCTGGAAACCCTTCTTAGGGAGTATAAGACTGCTTCTGAGAAACCCTTGAATCTTTGTAAAATCAATCAGAATATTCTTATCCAGGAACAGGTCAGAACCTGTGCAGAACCTTAGAAACACGGACAGATGCTGCAAATCTGCGTTCCTGTTGTATGTGCTAGCTTACTTTTCAATGTCCTTCTGACGAAAACTCATTTCCTGAGGAAAGACAATGGACTTCAAGACTTTTCTTGCATTTGGTTGTAAGTTTTCATACAGTGAAGAAAGGTCCTGGAAGCTGTTCCCGGTGATCCTGAGTGTTTTGGCCCACTGTTCAATAACATAAGCAGTTCTTGGACAAGCGCTCTGTGTGCAAGCTCCTGGAGGATTTCATTTACGTCGCTGGCAGTGGGCATTCGTCTGCAACTGTGCTTATCAAGAATCTCTATCAATTCCTCCTGGTCAACACTGCTGAAGTCTGACTGCCATGACTGAAACACAAAGCGCTCAGATTCAGGCATGAACTTCAGGAAATTCTGCACTACATCACTTTTTACCTGTCCAAAGGCTGCTTGCTCTAGTAGGACAGGTGCAATCTTCATAGGAAGACATTTCTCTCTTGTCCATCCAAAAACAATTATTCAGCCTACACTCCCACCGGCTCTGTCCATAATCATGTCTCAGAAAAGCCACTCTGTAAGTGTTTCCTGCAGTACACTGGTCACACAATTCTTTCCAGAACTCAGAAAGACAGTCTCTAACGACTCCGCCATCATCATAACCCATCTCAGTGGTCCATCTGGCAGCACAAGCTGGATTTTGAAGTCTCTATTTAAAAGTCCGTCACCACAGAAGTGAGCTATGAGCTCAGGAAGTACCTGTCCTCTGTGAACTATCAGTATCTCCTTCACTGCCTTGGCAGATGATGTGGATTGAGGGGATATTGGCAAAGTGTCGTCCAGAATCTGTGGCTCAGTGTCAGAAAACGGTCCTAGAAACACGATGCCACTGCTATCCAAATCCTCCTCCTCCCTAAGCTCTGCAGAATGAAGTGAAAAGTTTATACTGTCATGATTTGTTCTGTTTCCAATAAATAGAAAGTCAGGAGTTTCTTCTGTGGACATTGTGGATTGGCTGGTCATTGCAACATTAACAGCAGAGGAAGAGGAGGGCCGACTCACAGAACTGTCTTGATCCTGAAAAAATGCTGAAGGCAAAACTTCATCCTGACTGACTGACTGGTCAGCCTTCTTTTTATGGGTGGTCAGGTAAAACCTGACAATAGTCAGTTTGGTAACATGAAACATTTGTCCAGCAGTGATTTTGTCATCAACTGCCACTTCCTGATAATCTTTCAGATCTATTTCAAAATCTGTTCTGGACCCGTCTCTATTTCTTCCATTTGGAAAGAAAATGACAACATTTATGTGGATAATCTCACTTTTTTTAGCATCCTTTGAAACCTTCCTTGTTCCACCACCTCTTCTTGCTCTGACTTGTTTAAAAGCCTGTTGGTCTTCATCATAAAGCAGCCAGCCTATTTCTATTTGTCTCTTTGACTTCAGAGCATTCTTCTTAACGTTTGTTTTAGATTGCTCTTCTTTTTCCACACCACCACCATCTTGATGAGCAGTTTTCCTTTTACCCAGCTTTGATTTCAGGCGCTCAAACAGTTTTGCTTTGCGACTGTTTGGGGGCCATTTTCCTTCCTTTTACAGGATCCTAATAGGGCGATGCGGTCTCCATACGATGGCAAATCATTCTTTAGCTCTTCATCTGTCATGAGCTGGATGACGCTGGTATCAATCTAAACAAGGAGAATAACAAATAATTTATTTAAAACAGTTGGAACTAGAATTGCATGCAAAATATTTGAATTGAATTACATAACATTGCTGGACACATGCCTTAAAAAACTGTAGTTTTTGAAATACTGATTATTTTTTAGCTTGTGCCTTCTCTCTCAGCCTGGTCTCAATAGTTTCCTCAGGAATATTTCTTTGTCTCAGGAATTCACTCAGGTCATCCATTCTGTGATCAAACACTGGAAGGGAAGATACACAAGACCACCATCATATGTTACAATAAAATGTAAAGCAAGTCATACTACAAATTATAATACATTTGTACAATTGTTTTAATATTCATTCTAATTAAATTATTTTCTATTAGTTTATAGTTTCTTTCATTTCTGACAATGTTTCTTATAAGGACACAGATTGTTGCTGCTTTAATTTAATTCATCAACCTGCTTCTGATTTTACCTCAGAGTTTCTACTTCCTGGTTCTGTTGCTCTAAAGAAAAAAAACTACAAGTCAGGTGAGCTGTGACATCATCAGTTATGCAACATCCTTTATATTTACTTTCAGTTTGGATTCACCTGTTCAGGTGTGGCTCCAGTCTGTTTGTCGGGTCTCAGATTGTGTTAAATTTTCTTCTTTAACTCTTTGGATCGTTTCAACAAACTGTAAGTTTAATTTGTTTATTTCTTGAACTTTTTATCACTTTAACTTTGTCCTCATTGTTTCTAATCTCTGATGTTTGGAGAAAAGTTTCACTTCTGATTTCAGCTGAAACTTTAATATCTGCAGTTTGAAGTCTAATCTACAGGATTATTAGATTATTGATGAACTGGAATCAATCAACAAGATGAACAGCTGGTGTTTCACAGTTTTCTTCTCTGAACTGATTCATGTTTTATTTCCTGGTACTGAACTCTAGTCTCCGCCATTAATGTCAGCAACAGTTTTCTGTTGCTTCCTTTCAAAATAAAATATTATTAAAATGGGTTTGATTCAGTCAGATGATTAAATAGTTCATCTTTAATGAAGCGAATGATCCACCTGTATAAATTACTGATTGTGAACAATAAGACTTGTTCAGGTTGAATCAGTGAATGTAAATGTTGCTCCATGTCTCCATCTAGTGGACTGATAGTAGAAGTGCAGCAGCTGATGGCAGCTTCCTCTGCCTCTCTGCTGTCTGACTGCATTCACCTGACACTGATATGAAGCAGAGAAGAAGAGCCAATCAGAGGAGGAGCAGCTGATCTTTTTCCAGCACTAATGATGTAAAGGATGATCAGAGTTGATGTGCAGATGAATGATGTGTGTTTCCTCTGCAGGTGAAGCTAGAAAGTGTGTGTGAGCTGATGTGGATTCAGCAGCATGGATCAGTGTGAGGACAGAGAGGAGGGAGTCCCTCCCTCTAAAACCACTCTGTGTGGGGAAGATGAGAGCCAGAGCAAAGGTCAGAGGTGAGGTCACCATCTCTAACTGTCCACAGCCCTTTTCACACAGCGTTCACTATATCAGGCCAGAACAGACGTGGTGATGAAGCTGCTGCTGCTCCTCTTTGCTGATTAAGTTTTAATCATCATGTTTCTGTCAGGATCCATCAGAGACTCAAACCAGAACCAGAACCAGAACCCAGCTGTGTTTCCTTTAAGAGCGACAGGTCAAAGGATATAATCACTAACTTTAAATCTCCTGGATCTCCACCATCAGAGAGGTGAGCTGTATCTAATTGCTGTAACTCTGGAAACTGAACCAGTAAGAACTCAGATGTTTCCAGTTATATTTCCAGAGGTTTGATCCATTATCTACAGAAATCAGCTGCTCTGTTCTCATGAAAACACCTTCATATCTTTATCTCTGGATGTTGATGATGATGTTCTGTTGCTTCCTGGCTCCATGTCAGACTAACAGTGGATCACATTTCCACTGGGAAATACCTGGTAAAGCCATTCTGGTCCATCAGGACTTGGTTCCTGTGTGCATTGTGAGAGCAGTTCAGCAGGGAAGGAAAGCTTCATTATGTGTTTGGTGAGATCTGCTGGAACTCAACCAAACTGAGCTGATGTGGACCATCAGAGGTTCTGCTGGTTCTTAGTGGGATCAGCAGGAACATTAAATCTTTACAACTACTTAGATCACATGATTCACTGCTCACATCCAGATATCACTTCATGGACTTTTACCTTCAGATTGTTTCTGTGAGGACAGATACAATGTGAGCTCACTGGCTTCCAGGATCTACAGGATCCATTTTAAAATCCCACTATAACATCCAGGAGAGGATCCCACATGGACACACCCACATAATTCAGAACTTCTCCATGTCCACATCACCTTCCTGGTTCTGTTGTGGACCAGTCCCAACAATCAGGTTGATGGGACAACCTGATGGATCGCCCCATCAGGTTGTCCCATCATGCAAATATGAACAAGAAGCCACCCAGTGGCTGAAATGAAATACTACATCTAAAACACCTTCATAAAAGAAAACTGAACTGGAGGGCTGAAAATAAACAATTAAGTCTTTTGTACTCTTAATTGTCTTCCTCTAGAGATCATTTTCCTCTTTGATGTACAAGTTAGAACCATAATTTGACTTTGAATTGTGTTCATGTCATGCTTTGTTTTTCTATATTAAGGACTTTTAATGTGAAACTCCTGGTGATTTCCTCTGTAAATACTGCTGGATGAATATTTCCTGACTTCCTAATTGTTCCTGGTTCCTCCACAGAGTGGACCAGCAGAGCTCAGAGGTTCCCAGGGGTCCATCTGCCCAGCAGCATCAAACACAGCTGGACTCCATATTTATGGTTTGTATATGAACAACAACTATTTTTCCACAAGTTCTGGTCAAAGTCACCTTCATGCTGCACTTTGTAGACCAGAGGACTGTCAGTCTGTTCAACATCCATCTGGTGTTTGGCTCCATGATTTCACTCTGATGTTTCCTTCATCTATTATTCTGTTCCAGCTGCTGGAGGACAACATTGTTACTTTTGTGAAGAAAGAACTGAAGAAGATCCAGAAAGTTCTAAATCCAGATTACCCAGAAAATTCAGAGAGTCAGAGAGATGATGAGGTGTTGGAAGGTGATGATGAAGAGCAGAGAGGAGCAGCAGAGAGGCAGTGATGAAGATCACACTGAACTTCCTGAGGAGGATGAAGCAGGAAAAGCTGGCTGACCGTCTGCAGACTGGTAAGAGGATTTCTAAAGAGATTTGAAATAATAGATAAATTACACATTTGCTGAAGTGATGGAATCAAATTGAAAAGATTATTTTTATTTCATATCTGAATTTAATTATTTTGTTAATTTAGGACATTTTGCTGCAATTTGTCAACATCAACTTAAATCTGTTCTGAAGAAGAAGTTCCAGTCTTTGTTTGAGGGGATTGCTAAAGCAGGAAGTCCAACCCTTCTGAACCAGATCTACACAGAGCTCTACATCACAGAGGGAGGGACTGGAGAGGTCAATGATGAACATGAGGTCAGACAGATTGAAACAGCATCCAGGAAACCACACAGACCAGAAACAACAATCAGACAAGAAGACATCTTTAAAGTCCCACCTGGAAGAGATCAACCAATCAGAACAGTGATGACAAAGGGAGTGGCTGGCATTGGAAAACAGTCCTAACACAGAAGTTCACTCTGGACTGGGCTGAAGACAAAGCCCACCAGAACATCCAGTTCATATTTCCATTCACGTTCAGAGAGCTGAATGTGCTGAAAGAGAAAAAGTTCAGCTTGGTGGAACTTGTTCATCATTTCTTTACTGAAACCAAAGAAATCTGCAGCTTTGAACACTTCCAGGTTCTGTTCATCTTTGATGGCTTGGATGAGAGTCGACTTCCACTGGACTTCCACAACAAGGAGATCCTGACTGATGCTACAGAGTCCACCTCAGTGGATGTTCTGCTGACAAACCTCATCAGGGGGAAACTGCTTCCCTCTGCTCTCCTCTGGATAACCACACGACCTGCAGCAGCCAATCAGATCCCTCCTCAGTGTGTTGGCATGGTGACAGAGGTCAGAGGGTTCAATGACCCTCAGAAGGAGGAGTACTTCAGGAAGAGATTCAGAGATGAGAACCAGGCCAGCAGGATCATCTCCCACATGAAGACATCACGAAGCCTCCACATCATGTGTCACATCCCAGTCTTCTGCTGGATCACTGCTACAGTTCTGGAGGATGTGTTGGAGACCAGAGAGGGAGAAGAGCTTCCCAGAACCCTGACTGAGATGTACATCCACTTCCTGGTGGTTCAGACCAAAGTGAAGAAGGTCAAGTATGATGGAGGAGCTGAAACAGATCCACACTGGAGTCCAGAGAGCAGGAAGATGATTGAGTCTCTGGGAAAACTGGCTTTTGATCAGCTGCAGAAAGGAAACCTGATCTTCTATGAATCAGACCTGACAGAGTGTGGCATCGATATCAGAGCAGCCTCAGTGTACTCAGGAGTGTTCACACAGATCTTTAAAGAGGAGAGGTCTGTACCAGGACAAGGTGTTCTGCTTCGTCCATCTGAGTGTTCAGGAGTTTCTGGCTGCTCTTCATGTTCATCTGACCTTCATCAACTCTGGAGTCAACCTGATGGAAGAAACACAAACATCTAAGAAATCTTCATTACTTAATACATCTGACCTGAAATTTCTCCATCAGAGAGCTGTTGACCAGGCCTTACAGAGTCCAAATGGACACCTGGACTTGTTCCTCCGCTTCCTCCTGGGACTTTCACTGCAGACCAATCAGAGACTCCTACAAGGTCTGCTGACACAAACAGGAAGTAGATCACAAACCAATCAGGAAACAGTTCAGTACATCAAGAAAAAAATCAGTAAGAATGCATCTGCAGAGAAAAGCATCAATCTGTTCCACTGTCTGAATGAACTGAATGATCGTTCTCTAGTGGAGGAGATCCAACAGTCTCTGAGTTCAGGAAGTCTCTCCACAGATAACTGTCTCCTGCTCAGTGGTCAGCTCTGGGTTTCATCTTAGTGTCATCAGGAAAAGATCTGGATGTGTTTGACCTGAAGAAATACTCTGCTTCAGAGGAGGTTCTTCTGAGGCTTCTGCCAGTGGTTAAAGCCTCCAACAAAGCTCTGTAAGCACACAGATTTTTAATGCAGTTATTTGACAGATAGAATTCTGCTAATTATAAGATAAATATTCATATTTCAGTTTATATTTTGGTGCATTGTCTCTTCAAAGTGTCCCATTGGGTGTTTGCACAAAAAGAAACAGACTTCCTTCAGCATCTATATAAACAATAGAATGAAACACTTCGTAACAAATGTCATGTAAAATAAAATTGTTCTTTCAAATCAAAAATAAAATCATTGTTGGTTTGAAAGAATATACATTTTGTGTAATTGTTTAATAACAGATTTTCCTCCCTGTCTCCTCAGACTGAGTGACTGTAACCTCTCAGAGAGAAGCTGTGAAGCTCTGTCCTCAGTTCTCAGCTCCCAGTCCTCCAGTCTCAGAGAACTGGACCTGAGTAACAACAACCTGCAGGATTCAGGAGTGAAGCTTCTCTCTGCTGGACTGAAGAGTCCAAACTGCAGCCTGGAAACTCTCAGGTAAAATGTTCTCAAAACTGGTTAAATCAGATTTCTGTCCACTAGCTCCAAGCAGAGATAAACTATACTGCCAAAAGTATTTGACCAGCCATCCAAATGATCAGAATCAGATGTCCCAATAACTTCCATGGCTTCTAGACATACAGACTGTTCCTGAGAGAAATGGGTTCCTCTCAGGAACACAGTTAATACCAGCAACAGGATTTGCAACAAGTGACATCATATCACTAACATGTGGCTAACAAGTCTCTATACATAAACGTTGCTGGTTTTCATTTACTCCAAGCTGAAAGGACCAAGAAGAGACGTATTTAGAAAGGAGGTGGTCAGGTTTCCATTGATAGTGAAACTCTGGATAGTTGCCAGGTTGCTGCATCCCAGGTGCACAAATGAGCAGATCTTCATGCATTTGTTACTTTCTAACCAGAACTGCTCCTAACAAAACTCAATAATTATATACATCCTGGCTGTTACATGCTATAAATTTAACTGTTATAACTTTTTTAATTTCCTTTATGAAGCCGGAGTAAAGCATCTCACAGAGCTTCAAAAAAAGGGGTCCTTTATTTTTTAGATTAAAAAAAAACACTTTTCTCTCTCTGAGTCAGACAGAAACAAATGAAAGAATGAGGATCAATATGTGCTGACAGCAATGACCCATATTCTATCAATTAAAAGCTTCAGAGAAAATGGCGGGTTGTAATATTCGGCTTGATTAAAGCAGAACTCACAAGAAACACACAAGGGGGATCTTGTTCCAGGTAAAGGTTAAAAGTGTTACCAGAATCAGTTTGATAAAAAACAAAGGTTCACCCACTCAGTATGAAATTAATAGGTTTGCACCAGAAATAATTTATTCAGAAACCCAAAATTTGAATAATTAATCAACCTAAATCAACATCAAAACCCACCCAAAATATCAAGAGTCTGATTTGCCTTGTCAGGCTGATTCACAAACCACACTTAAAAAATAGAAAATCCCAAAAGTCCTGTTCCTTTTTTATATTTTTGTCCATAAAGGAGTCCCATACATCCAAATCTAACCACGACCTTGAAGCGTCGCTCCGTATTAATCCCCGTCTT